CACTATGTCACTAAAATCAGTCAGTCTGGTAAGTTTTTAGCAACCATGAGTCAATAATGGGGCACCCTGCTATATAATCTACTGGGGTATGGTAACCTGTTTTCAACAGGTGAGGTCTCTGCTTTTTCCATTTTTTTTTTTTATGTGATTAAAAAAATGGGTCCCTGAAGGCATGGTCTGCCTCCCATCTTGGTCCCTTTAGGTCCAGGCCAGGGTCCTGCTGCGTCCTTCACCCTCCTCCGCTGGTGTGATGTCACAAACAATTGTGGGATGAGCTGTCTGGTGTTGATTTCTAAATTAACACCAGACTGAGTTACTGTTGGTGTTAATTTAGAAATCAACCCTGGACTGGACTGCTTTTTAATTAACTCTTTGGACCTCTCTAGGGAAACGAACACTCACTAACACTCATGTTGTTGAATTAACATACAACACTTACACTGGAAATCAAACACTTTTGAATTTGCTGTGTAGCTGACAAACTCACGTAGTTCCTCATCATTTTGTCACGTAACTGCGACCCGTCGACTCAACATGAAAAGCTAGAGCAGCAAGTCGACTAGATGGTGCATCTCAACTAGTATAACTAGTCATACTTAGTCATACTTAGATAACTAAGACTAGTTATCACTTTCTTAACTGCTATCACTACTACAGCTTGTATTGGGGAAGGTTCTGGTTCTGCTAGACTGTTTGGACTGTTCTGTGTTTTAGAGATGCTCTGCTGAAGATGAGGGAGGTTTATGAACGAAGTCCTCAGATGGGCGACGCCAGAAGTTTGGAGCCTCGACTGGAGGAAGTGAAGCTGAACCTCCAGAGACTGGAGGAGGAGCTGAGGAGGAACCAGGTGGGCGGAGCAGATAGAGAGGACCGCAAGATTACTCTGAATATATTCCGTCGGTTCTCTGAATTTACTCTGGTACTAACCGGGTTCTGCTGTGTTTCTGGGTCCAGGTGTGGCTCTCGGAGGCGGACGGTGGTCTGTCTGATCACAGCGGCAGGAGGCAGAGCGGAGGTTGTGGGTTAAACTCTCAGGCAACAACGCCAGGAAGCAGCAGCCTCAAGCAGCTGAACAACCGCAGTCCTGCCAGCAGAGAGAGGTGATCAGAACTGATTATCCACAGACCCGCTCTGCCTCGGTTCTGGACTGGCCCAGGCTGAACTGTGCTCTCCTTTCAGCCCCGACGGCAGCTACACCGAGGACCAGGCAGCCGAAATCACCTTCAAGTCGCGCAGCTCCGAGTTTGACGATGACTTCGATGATGAAGAACCGCTACCGAGCATCGGAACCTGCAAGTCTCTGTACCCGTTCCAAGGTACCGCCTCAGTTTGGACCGGGTAGTCGCTATCATCATCATGATCACCATCATCATCATCATGATCACCATCATCATCATCATGATCACCATCATCATCTATCATCATTACCACCATCATCATCATCATCATTACCATCATCACCATCATCATCATCATCATTACCATCATCACCATCATCTATCATCATTACCATCATCATCATCATCATCATCACTATAATCACCATCATCATCTATCATCATCACCATCATTACCATCATCACCATCATCATCACCACCATCACCATCATCACCATCATCATCATCATCATTACCATCATCACCATCATCTTCATCATCATTACCATCATCACCATCATCT